TCCAGGTCTGAATGTACACATCTTTTAATCATTGTGATACAGCATTATGGAATGACTAGGGGCAAGTAATCTTTTGTGACAAAAACATCACTGAAACCACAAGGATTTAGTAAATTGCTAACATTCGTTACCAAATTTGATTTTCCTTCAGTGTCAAACAAACACATATTATTATAACATTTCTTGGGCAACCTTGTTACAGGTATATCCAAGAGCTGTATCCAGTATTTGATAACTTTTACCTGTGCTTCCAGAGAAAGTAGGAAGCGACCACATTCACCATATATCACATTTGGGGTATTTGAGTAACTCCTAAGACATTTTTACATGCATAAATATTAACATTTTCCAATGCTTCCAAACAAGAAAAGCCCCCAAACCTCTGCCTTACATAACAGAATTGGTGTAATTATTGTTTCAAATATTTTGAAATTTACATTGCCCAATTTCTTTAAAATTCTGTAAATGCCCATGAAAACCTTTCGTCCCTGTAAAGCAGCACTTTTTGCATGATGATACCATGATAACGCAACATGGACAGCCTTTAACAACATCTGAGTATTCTCCGTCATACAGCCACTTTTAGTGCAGCTGCTTGAAAACATCATGACATCATCAGCAAACAATAACACAGATACCTAACCAATATCTGGCTGCAAGTGAATATCATCTGTACAATTTTGATACACAACTGTCACTAATTCAGTTATAAAGAAATTAACAAATGGACTTAGTAATACTATACAGCCTTGGTGTACATCGATATTGCTATAAAATGTTGATGACATAACACCATTATAACGCACACATGCTTTCACATTGTTAAATACATTACTTAATACGGTTCCCATTTTGCTCTCAAGCCGTGCTTGGTGAGTAGCTTCCATAATTTGTTCCTATCAACTGAATCGAATGCCTTGGCAAAATCTACAAATAGAAAATATATTACAAACAAAAAGTTTGGGAACACCCTAAAATTTGATAGTCATATATAAACATAAAGGTAGTGAGGACAGGTCATTTATACCCTAAGGTAAATGCAACTTTCTGTGTGCTTAATGGGCACTTTAAACTACATGTTGGAACATGCAGTGAAGCAACTGATTCAATATTCTTTGAGTTTGAATGAAACGAAACATTGTCAAAAATAGCGGAAAACAAGGGAGCTGAAACACACCAGCACTATGTTTGATTCAAACGCCCAAATACAACAGCCTAGTGCACGTGGAAGACAGAGAGGTCGCTATTGTGAAAATAAAGAAGTTCATCATCTATAAAGTTTTGTCATCTCTTTACCAGTTTTATGTTTATTACCAGTTTGTCGATGCATTCAATCTGCAGCAGCACACAAACCTTTACACACATAATCTATACTGTCATAAAATATTTGTAAATGCAACAACGAGAGATTTTTCGAATAGTCCTTGCACAGTATCAGAATGTAAGTTATCGACAAATGTATTTTTCTTATCCGTATCCCATGAACCTAGAAGAGAAAATATTTGAATTATCCTCGTCCCAACCAACACACGTGTGAGGAGCTCGTAAAGCTAACACGTGTGGAAGGTGTGCTGATTCTGTACGAGAAAGTATTTTAATCTGTTCAGCGTTGAAAGAGCTCCGGAGATTATATTACATAATCAATCAAGCTTGCCCAGTTATGTACGGTGAATGTAAAATCACCCACACCCTGATCACCATCTTCCATTCATGCTATAAATGTTTAAAACTACGCATAGATCAAGTACAGATTTCCAAAAATATTTACACTTTTGTGTAGTGAATACCTTTTCATTGTAGAAACATCCGAGAGAAGTTCACCTAATCTATTGTCGGTGTCTTCTTTGTACTCCAAAATATCATTTTCTATAAAATCAAGATTTGTACGAGTTCTGGCGTTAACATTTACGCCGACACACAAATATAGATAAGTGAACTTCCTAAGTATATCCAAATCACAGCCCATGACATTCCAGGAGGAGTGCGATTTACTCAAAGATCAACTGACCAGAGGCCACGTTCCCAAATTGGAGCTCTTGGGACTGGATGACATTGAAACTTATGCACGCAGCCAAAAAGTACACCTTCCATTTCCAGTATTACAAAGTGCCCAGCTTCAAGTTGAAACTCAATGGACAGGGAGACCATGGAAGTGAAACCAAAGGTATATTTTAGAACAACAGTACCACGCTCCATCAGCTGTGCATGAACCCGTGAAACACCTGGCACCTGTGACAACATCCCAGCAACATCAACCTGGATGAGTTCCCAATTGACTTCCCAGGTAGGGGATCCGACCTCTGATCTGGGGCAGACGAAGGGTGTTACTACTGGCAGATTCGGGCTTTAACTATAGTTTGCAGACCCACTACAACGTCCTTTAACAATTGCTACTGGGAACAGGAAAGCATCTTAGAAATCGATCGTTTCTGCAATGATCTGATGGTGTAATGATGGACATTGCTCTGATGGTGTAATGATGGACAATGATCTGATTGTCTAATGATGGACAATGCTCTGATGGTGTAATGATAGACAATGCTCAGATGGTGTAATGATGGACAATGCTCTGGTGGTGTAATGATGGACAATGCTCTGGTGGTCTAATGATGGACATTGCTCTGATGGTGTAATGATGGACAATGCTCTGGTGGTGTAATGATGGACAATGCTCTGATGGTCTAATGATGGACAATGCTCTGATGGTCTAATGATGGACAATGATCTGATAGTGTAATGATGGACAATGCTCTGAATGATCTGATAGTGGTGTAATGATGGACCATGCTCTGAGGGTCTAATGATGGACAATGCTCTGGTGGTGTAATGATGGACAAAGCTCTGATGGTGTAATGATGGACAATGCTCTGATGGTGATGGTGACAATGATGGACTATTGATGGACTGCTCTGATGGTGTAATGATGGACAATGCTCTGATGGTGTAATGATGGACATGCTCTGATGGACAATGCTCTGATGGTCTAATGATGACAATGCTCTGATGGTGTAATGATGGTGGATGGTGTAATGATGGACAATGCTCTGATGGTCTAATGATGGGCAATGCTCTGATGGTCTAATGATGGACAATGCTCTGATGGTGTAATGATGGACATTGCTCTGATGGTCTAATGATGGACAATGCTCTGATGGTCTAATGATGGACAATGCTCAGATGGTGTAATAATGGACAATGATCTGATGGTGTAGTAATGGAAAATGCTCAGATGGTGTAATGATGGACAATGATCTGATGGTGTAATGATAGACAATGCTCTGAAGGTGTAATGATGGACAATCATGAGCTGTAACGCATTTTATCATATTCCAAACGATTGTTTGAAGTCAGTGAAATTGCCCAAGATACAAAGCTTTGTTTGGCATGTTTCATTGATCCTTTGTTTAAATACCAACATGCAAAGATCGAAGATTTCAGGGATTGTCAGTCAGTACCTAGACATACAACGATTCCCACAATCGACCGAAACCTTCAGGACAGCTTACGATCCGGATGTCGAATGTTTTTTGATTGATTGATTTTAAAGGTTGAAACTAGACTTCTGAAACCTTGGGAAGATTACTCCTAAGATATATGACTGCACGCTTCTGTCTTCAACAATAAACAAGCAAGGAATATATAGATTCATGTCCATTATCTTGTATTATAACAACATTTCGACTGTTTGTGTGGCTTCTCATTTCATACCTCTGAAGTGCAGTAGTGACAAATCAAATCCAACTCGTCAACATAAGTGAACGTTCCTTTCTTCGCATGTTAATACGTTGTTTACGCAAACTCTGGTTCTATTGAGACCCATGTTCGTCACATGCATCGACTTGTCTTTGCACCGTCCCGATATTATGGCTAAACATAATCTGGACTTCCGTTGATAACTTGCCCTGAAAGTAAACTGCCGATCTGGAAATGTTCAGTATTGATTTCAGTGATATGTTAATGTGTTTTAGCTTGGATTCTAATGACAAATTATAATGACGGCCGTGGTGAAGTAACTGAGGTGGACGTGGTTTAACACCGCATCCTGTCATGGCTATATTGTGAATATCTTAGAATCCGGTTCAGACAATCAAGTGAATGAAATGATGTATGTGTTTTATGTACATGATCTTAGAAGCACTAAATGAACTCTCTTTGTAAATATGTACATATGTCAGCGCCATGAGCAATCATGGTGATTGGTTATAGGGTGCCATACAAATGGTCTACTACTTAATATTATTATATGCAAGTTTAAGAAACACAAAAAGTAAAACAAAACAACACAGCTGAACGAAAAGCAAAAATACAAAGCCTGAAGCAATCCCTAATCGATGCACACATATATTGTGTTGAAACAGCACGGTGTGTGATGCATTAGTGGTATGTCAGGGATTCGTGTATTAATCTTGGTATTGGACTGCTGCAAGGATCATTGCCGAGGAACAATGCTAAGTGACACCACGGGTATGATAGCTGAAGCCACTATGTATAGTTTTCTTATCGTTCTGGCCAACATCGGGTTGAACGTCGTTCGTTCTGATAGTACGTATTCCTTTCATGTATGTTGTTTATTCTTTTCAATCCATATACTTCATCTTATTGAAAGTTTCATTTTGATGAAATTTGTGAATTGTTAATGTTGATTTTCTTGTCATACCGGCAATGTTTCTATTTGTTAACGCCAAAATATAAATACCCATATCTTTATCAGATGCATATTGCAGTTTTAAAACACAAACATAAATCAAAACATACAGACACATACATACAGGCAGACAGATGTAGACACAACACACACTCACAGCGACACACATGCACACACAGATACCCAATTATACAGACAGATGCACACACCACATTCGCGCCCAAACCTAGGTACAGTTGGTTCCTTCTTACATACATGTGCACATACGACTGAATCTTGGTCTTGCTTGAGATCACATTTCAGACTATACTGTTTTCTTTCCATGCTCAGAGGTATTCTCCGACTTCCAGCTGCACATCGGAATGTACCCATTAACAGTTGTCCAACAAGAGGAAGGAGGTGAGGAAGTTAATTCTCTTGAACATATGTAATAGAATATTATTAATAGATAATAAAAGGATATCGTAAATCTTGCCCAACTGTAACATTTGATGACAGGAAATTACCTCATCACTCTGCTCATCATACAAATATGATCGTCAAAGTGATTGTTATAGGCTTAACAATTACGTATTTAGGTTACAATATTCAATTAAAATGTTCGAATGAAATAATGCAACGTTGCATTAAAACGACTTCCAAAACATTTTTCAAGCGAACATAGAGCTATGTCCCTAGGAGCGCTCTTTACGAATATCCTACATACAACTTTTGATTGAAACCAGTTCGACAAACACCGACAACGCCACGTGCGACAGTGTTCGATGTGCGGAGCAAACGCTTACATTCCATATATGGCAAGAGTTTTCTGTTTGGAAACTGAACGCCTCGAAGTTTCAAATATCGATTTCAGGCCAGTCATAAGGGATAATAAGTCTTTTATTGCATCAGTAGGAAGCTAAATGAGTGCACATGCCCCAATAATATAATATAGGCCAAAATATTGTCGAAAATGTGTAACATTGTGCCTTTAACATTACTGCTTCTTCGCTGAGATCAGATAACAGCATTCCATTGATGTTTATTTCAGACTACAGAATTGATGTTATCATCAGATCCCTTTCAGAAAATGGAATGTCTGTTGTGGTGAACTTTGAAGAGTTTCAAAGTACAATAGCTTCTCGGATGAGGACAGTAGAACAAGATGGGAAAAGGCCTGCACATGTGGGTGGATTTAACTTCTTGTTTTTCTCGGATGTTGATGGAGTCGATGTGATTCTATCCCAGGTATGTATTTGTGTTGAGTGTTGATACCCAAATGTTAACGGCCTCCTCCACCACATCAGCACCACCACCAACACAACCACCTCAACAACGACAACAATGAGAAGGTTGGCGTATAGGGGCAGTTGATGATTGTGCCAGGACCAGAAACCGAACTAAGTCATTATGATTATACGTATATAACCCATCACTAACCTTCACATCAGATATAATGACTTTCTGAAAGGATTAATCACAATAGGCCATCACGTCTGAATATTTGAACTTATCTTAAACTTATTTGATGTAGTTTGTGATTCATTGTAGGCTCAGCGCCTTGACCGTCATTATGGATGGGGTTCGTTACTCCGACATATGTCTAAATGGCTGATTGTGTTGACGGATGGAGGGGATGCTGGTGACCTGATGCTGGACAACATCCTCCTGGACAACGTGGCCATAACGTCCATAGGAAATTTAGGCGGCAATTACACGGAGGAGAAGGTTCGTTCTTCAGTTCCACATTAGTGTCAACTGTTCCAACAATGAACACAATTATCCAGTGAACACCAAATTGTCATCACATATTTTCAGGGCTCCAGCTTAACTTCAGAAGCTGCACATATTAAATGGATATGGTACGATTTTCGGGCACAGTTAAAACTTACATATATGATTACATGACATCACTTTTGCTTCCAGCAATGCGAAACCTGCAGGTATTTCAAAGCCACCTCGTGGGTGTGACGTGAAATATAACAGTAAACTAGAACTTTAAGTGACACGAAGAATGTATTAAACAGAAATACTCTGATCTTGAATATGTCAGATTACAATATTTTCCAACATGATAAAAAAACGCATGTGAGTTGTATTCATTTAAGTGGCATAATTCCGTATCAGTTTCTGACTTGTCTCTGGAGTCCAATGACTCCTGAACACATGGAGTTCCATGAGAGTAAATACCGACGTTCGCTTTATTTCTATCAATAGACATCACTCCCAACAATGTAATAAGAAATCTTAATATATACCCATGGGTTTAAAAACTTGAAAATACTCCGATTTAAGGCCTATGGGCTTAATTTCACATGGGCTGAAGTACACATGGTTTTTTTTCAACTAAGAGTTCAGATTATCATATTCCGATTGCACTGCAAAATCTGTTCTGTATTCAAAAAAACACTAGTTGATTTTGTTCTTAGATCACCTCCTCGGTTTATACGTTGATGTGGGAGAAAGATTCTAGAGAATTGCAACAGGTATCACAGACTCCGACAGAAGATGCCATTACACGGGTCTTCCCGAACACAGGACATGGATTGAATGGTAGAGTCTTAAGGGCAGCAGCTCTTAACGTAAGCATCACGTCCAAGCAACTACAGAAAAAGGCTAATGTCGTGACACGTGTATGGAACTCTATGGAGAAGGATCCCAAATTCTGATGATTAACTTCATATTGTATATCCATTTACTTTTGGTCCTTTAACCATCTGTTTGTATAACGTACCTGTGAAGAGGCGGGTTATAATTGGTCCTCAGCAATTAATGCCTATCGTAATCGGGTGGTCAGCTTCACTGACTTGGTGGCTGCGTATCGTCGTATCACAATTCGTAGATCGATTCTCATTATTTTGTTCACTGGATTGTCTGCCTCAGACGCGATTGTTTACAGACCACCGTCATGTATCTGGAACAAAGGCGTGTATTACTTGCCTTGATTTTCATATCCTAAATATATAAATCAGTTGTGAGTCATATAGCTGGAAAGCTGTTGAGTGCGGCGTTAAACAACAAACACATAATGCTGTAGAGACATTTGGACACGCCCCTGACAGTTTCTTGGTGTATGGAACGTTATGGAGAACGATCCAAAATTTTGACGATTTACTTATTATTTTATGTTCCTTATACAATCTGTCTGTATAACCTACGCATGAAGAGGCGGGTTGTAACTGATCCTCAACAACCCTTGTTTGTCAATAGCGGCGTCTTACGTAATCGGGTGGTGAAGATCAGTGACGTGGTTGATGCATGTCATCGTATCCCAATTGCAAAGATCACTGAATTGTCTGGTCCAGACGCGATTATTGACAGAACCCCATCATACAACAGCGTCTTTAAACAACCAACACATATGCTGTAGGGACATTAGTACACGTCCCTGACTTTATTACCTTTACAACGTTTATTACACCTTACGCGTGTCTTCTCCGTTACAGTGGGTCACGTGTGAAAAGAAATTCATCAACGATACCTTCACCTATTTGGGATTTTGTGATCATCTCCTCAGTCATCTATCCAGAACCTTCAATTTCAGGTACAGTATTGTTGAAGGTAATGTGTCCAGGGTGTCCATTTCGCTGTGCACAGTTGGAAATTTGAGCGGTTTGATGTTTGTAGGTGTGTCAACAACATACCCATGATCGTGAATTTCACTAAAGTGGTAAACGTCTACAACTAGCATCACGTCGGGATTCCCTCCCACAGTTAGCAGACATGCCTTGATGTAACTGCAACACTGTTCAAAGCGCCGTTAAATCCAGCTCATTTACTTACTATTTTTCAATAACACAAGTTTTAAACATGCTATTTTGAAAAAAAACAACTTGCCAAATGACACGTTACTTTCTCAATGCAATAGGCTATGTCGTTGAAACTATTTCCCATCGTTATAATCGAGAATGTTTCCATATAACTGCATAATTCTTTTCTTTATAAATTGGAGTGGACAATTTGTTCTTTTCTCTCAGTTATACATATGTGGAGCCAGCGGACCAGTCCTGGGGAGTACGACATCCGAATGGCACGTGGGATGGAATAATTAGGATGCTGATAGATGGGGTATTGCTATTTTCGTATATCGTTATGTTATTATTGACAATATTTAAACCCTGTTATTTTTTCATAAGTTTTCTCACAGAAGAATACACATCACTGATGCATCAGTACTATGCAACTGTATCGTACTTAACAGTCTGATCACAGCCCTGATATTCGTTGGACTTGAAACTTCCGGTTAAATTCTTTGGTGTTTGATTGGTCTTGATTGGTACTTATCAACAGCCCCACTAACGAGGAACTGTCATCTCTTTTGCACACACCCGATGTTTAAAGTGAAAATATAAAGTGATTCTTAAGTCAAGATCTAATATTTTACCCTTTCCATTCTCCTTGGAGTCAGTACTTTCGTGACGTAGAAGCAAATGTGAATGCCTTGAAACACTGACAGTGGTAATTCATCCGTAGTGAGTTATCGACACAGTCACACTTGCCCATGTACTCTCTACTGAAACACCCAGGAACCAGCTTTTCATGAACTTGTTTGCAGAATGCCGACATATCTCCTGTTCCATATGCCCTGTCCTACGAAAGGTCCATGGATCTGACCTTTTCGCACCCAGTCGACTTCCGTCACAGTGATATAATCTACAAGAAACCTGTACACGGTGTGAAGTGGGGTGTTCTGCTGCTCTGTTTCCAATGGCAGATATATGCGCTGGGCTTTGCTGTGATGGTTTGGGTTGCTATTGCTTTTCAAACATTAAAACAGGCCAGCGAGTGGTTGTTTCCCCAAAGAGACATGAAAACAGACAATCTGTTTGTATCAAAGACTGCACTCATCTTAGGTGTTCCATTAAAACAGGGTAAGTATGATTTTCCACCACTTCTATTTCAACCATTGCATAATAAGCCAACTGATATACAGTTCAACCTAGATCCAAAATCACCAAATATGAAAAAACCAAACAGATTGAGATAAATATGTCATAGGATGTCAGAGAGAATATATCTTTTATATATTCTTTAATTTTTTAATTAGGGATTCAATATTTGTAAATGTAAATGTACATAAATATACTGAACTGTTTTAGCAAGTCATGGGTTGTTGAAACATTCTTAACACATGGGTTAAGTTGCCATTTGAACAATTTAATTAAAAGCCTTTTATGAGAGGACGAAGACTGAAATATGCATGATAAATCTCTGACTTTCTAGCGTTAGGACGAGTACCAGAACGAGTTTGTATGTTGTACACAAAGAGAAACATCAGTTGATGAGTCCAATATTGATGAATGTATCTTAATGTCAACCTAAATTATCCTTATTTGGCGTTATTATGATCCGGTTATATATGTTACAGGTTCGCCTGTATTACCACCAGCAGACTCACATCGTGTCCTGTTCAGTTTCTGGTGGATATTTTGTATTCTCGTCACGTCTGTATATTCCGGTAACCTCATCGCCTATCTAGCCGTCGCCAAAGATAGTGTTCCATTCACGGGGATGGGCGATGTTCTGGAAAGTGGGTACAATTTGGGAGTAGATACAGGAAGTTTTCAAGAGTCAATGATAAAGGTATCTTGCATTCTAATCCCGTACTGGTATCATCCTACTAAGTACTAAATAGTGCTTACGTTAGAAAAACTATATCAAATATTCTTTAATGATAAAGGAATTAACAGATGTGTCCACTCTTTCAGAATTCTAGTATCTCGCTTTACAAACGGCTATGGCAGAAGATACTGGAACACAGACCAACAAATATGACGGTTTCTGAACATAAAACCTTCAACAACAACCAGCTGGAATCTGGTGGCTATGCCTTGATAACAAGTGCGCATAACATCGAGAAATATATGGCCAAAAGATGTGACATGGTGGCAACCAAAGAGAAAGGGTTTCAGTCCTATATGTCTTTTCCCCTTCCAAAACACTCTGCCCTGGCCTGGTTGTTTGATCCTGAGTAAGTGCCCTGGGCTTATATTCACATTTGTGACTATTCACATCGATATCGACTTGACGATGGTTGAAAACTAACGAGTACTCAATATTCTCCTTTGCTTAAATATATTCCGTTTGTTCTCATGTGTCTATCAGAGACCGGTTCGTTATCTTATGATTATTTTACCCGTACAATCTGGACATAGTTTGTATGAACAGTGTTTTAGATTTCATTTTCATTTCCCTGCAGAATATTGTCCCTGGTGGATAGGGGTCTACCAAGATATTGGATGGATCTTTCAACACCCAAAAGAAAGCGATGTGCGACCGAGAGACAGGACAGAATCCAAATAGAAGATTTGTTCCTGGTGTTTGTGATAACTGGAATCTGTATTGTATTAGGAACTGTCTTCCTAGTTGTGGAACACGCTATAATTCGATACCATAAAGGAAAGGGTCGTACCTAAATCCAGTGTGTTGTGTCCCAGCGCTTCAAGGGCTGAGAACATTACCTGTGCAATCTCTAGCATAGAAAGTCAGGGTTTCAGCTAGTTTGTCTTATTGGATACTTTGGAGTTTGTTCATTTACATGATCGGGGATCGAGTGCTACAGGGCACGATGCTGTATCAAGTAATATCAATTATAGATAACTGACACGTAATGTTTAGAGTGAAGCATCTTTGGGGTACTGGATGATTACAATGGCTAAGCTTTCATTGTGAAAGTGGCTCTGCGTTACTGTGAATGAGCGGCTTGTGCCTTGTGCAGTGTTGCAGTGTAGGAATTTCTTTGTAGTAAATTAGTGTCCTTGGTGAATATAAGCTGAAAGGTGGTATTGGAGCGCATCTTTAATCAGAAACTACAGACGTTTGCTGTGTATTTGTTTGCATTGTTAACGCCAAATTCAGCAACGTTCCAGATATTAACGGCCGAAACCAAAGAGACCATTGAAACAACAGTACACAGTACAACCACAACCACAACAACTTTCCAGACTGATGACAACCAATGGCGTCTGTCGAGATTGCAGACAACCAAATGCGTCTCACGGGACAGCTGAAATGTTTAGCACCCCAAGCAATATTGTAAATAGGTTACCAGTATCATACTATTGTGCAGTGGGGTATTGCAACCTTTTTTAAAACTGGACCTTCTTGAAATTTTACCCATTTACATCATATATACATTTACATCTGATTGGTATGAATGGATGTGAACAAACCTTTTCCCGTGTATCTAGCTCTGTAAAGATCAGATGTGTGTCCACCCTGTCAATGCTTAAGTCATAATTCGCACAACCAGATTAAATGTGTCTTTAAATTCTTTGTTACCAGATAGTCACTTTGACGATCCATTCATTGATTCATGTCAACCATTATGCTCAGCAAACAACAGTATATTGATGAAAAAGGACCAAACCAGATCTTACGTGTGGTTAAGCTTGACAAATGTCGAACATTGATTGGTTTTGGCACCTGTGTGATTCGTATTTAAACCAATAGGTTGAAGTGTTGACTTTTCCATGTTTAAGTCTCCTGGTTCCAGTATATATTACAGATATATTTGTATTAAGACAAATTTAACCACTCAGCTTGAAAGTTACGTTTCATTGGAATGTCCTTTCAATACTGCAATTCACAAACGGACACAGTAATCAAACAAAATTACAGGCACCTACGTATGTACTTCAAGCTGAAATGCTGACTATGAATGAACACACAGCGGCCAAACCTGTAATTGGAGACAGCCGACACAACGGTGCATGACCGTATATTAACTGTTGTCTTTATTCCTTTTGAAACATTACAATAAGGCTATTTAGTTGAGTATGTACAATAAAATGGTGCCACAACTATTGCCTATTTATATCTTTAATAAAATGAATTATTTAACAGTGTCACATGGTTATCTGACAGAGATTTACATTACTTGTTGGACGTCAGATGACCATTGATTTTGTTTGATGATTACGTGAACCCGCCTCGTTTATAATCCAAAGATAATGCGGGATTCGACGAGGCATGCTCCTAATCAAACGTCCAATGTCAACTTGGCTCATCCAGTCTAATTCTTCCTGCAGGGCAGCGTGAGAGTGGTCGGTCGTTGTTGACCTGAAACACTAAAAAGACGTCAACGTTGGCCCGCAAATCACCAAGTGTGCTTCCAGAAGGTTGACACGGTAGTACTGACAGGTCACAGTTCTGTGAACAACATGTAAAGGTCGTTTGTCAGTCAAAGTGATCGCACCCCACACCATTACCGAGTTGCCCCCGAAACGACTCGATCCTGGCTAACGTTAACGGCATGAAAAAAGATAATTCTGTCTCCGCGACACTCATTTGATCCTGTCAAGAAATCCAAAGTAAACCTTGCTTAATCAGAATACGTGACGTATCACCAATGGCGATTGGTCTAGCGCTGTTGACACCAACGACGTCTTGTAGTAATGTGACAGTCCGTCAATCGGGGGATAACACGGCGGGAATGTGGGTTCCGTCTGTGTAACCGAAAACGAATAGACTGCACCTTCACTCGAACGTCAATAACTCTGTGAAACTCATCTTGAGGGCCTTTTTGACGAAGGTTTCGTAACACAGACATTTTGATGAAAAGGTTTTGTACGCCAGTTGTCTCCCTTGGCATAATGGTCTGTCTAGTTCCAACTCCCCGCATGCCAATTGCTCGTAGTTGTTCCTGACGTGACAGATGCAGATTGCCATAAGCCCGTTTAATTGACTTCAAAATAATATCAGAACAACTTTCAGTCTGTTTTTGTCCCTTGAAGGTACAGCAACACATCGATTCGTCTCACCGTAATTTCGAATTTTACCTCGGCCACGTTCACGTGCACGTTGTCTCATGTGCAGGCTGATAGTGAGTGAGTTAAAATGGAGGCTGCATCGGCACCGATAGACTGACGAATATTGTGTTGATGCACTGAAATCGCTATACAATTGAAGCAAACCGAAGCATGAGTCTCATTAACCTATTCAGACAATGCCCCACCTTTCAGCCGATCCGAATTTTCTCGTGTGAAAGTGAAAATAGACATCACAAACAACTATGGTTACACTGCATTCCAATGTCTTGTTTTATTATAAAATGGTATTTGCAAATGAATTTTAATTTTAAACTATAATAGTATCGTATTTCTATATTTATGGCGAGGTGTAACAGCATGACCTTAACTAAAACGTCACAGACTGCCCCTGTTTGATGAGGTCGTACGATGATTCCCAATGTATCTGACTCACTGGTTACACCTGTTATGTGTTTTTTGCGCTTATTCTGTGTAGTTCCGTAACGCACAATCTGATTGATATAATATCAAGTCCGTACAAGACGCCAAACTTTTTAAGCGGGAGAGCCTCGTTTTGAGATTTCGACGATTTCCAGTGTTCCGTTTGTCAGAGCTCGCTGTACCACAAACATGCTGCACGACACGTTTGCAAGGATTAGAAGGAGCGTAATGTTGCAATGTACAAGTGCTTAGATGTATCAAATAATACTGATTAATATTTAGGTATCCAGTTAAATGAATTGGTCTCAAAATTCTGAACTGGATATTGTACAAAGTTGCGCAATAGGACGGAACCCAGTCAACAGGAAAGAGACTGTTGTGTAATCAATGTTTTGACTTGCTTATGAAATTGAATCCCACAGTGGAAGTAGTGTGTGCATTATTATAAAACTACATGTGTATCAAACTGTTGTCATCCAGGAAACAATACGGACCATGAAATGTAGATAGTGGCATGACGTTCCATGACCACCCAACGCGACCGTCACACTTGTAAAGTCGTCGTCACCATGGGAATAAAACCGACATTATTTACGCCTGTGAGGACTGCAGAATGGTCATGTTGAAATATCAGTCCAGGACCATGTAGCTGCATGAATGGCTGAAGGACCGGGATCAAAACCTTGGTACTGATGTTGTGTACCGGTAACATTCCCCTGGACGACAATCAGTTGAAATCAGCGGTTGGCACAATATAGTCCCCAAACCAAACCCCTTCAAAATAGGTCAATCTCATGAACCCAACCCTGTACGTGACGTTCCCCCTCCTGCTCAACACACGTAACCTGCCATCAGCAATGTGGAGTGGGATTCATCACTGAAGACACTGTTTTCTTGTCTCTTGTTGAATCTGGCGTGTCTGTGGACCTATCGTGAACATTGGGCACTAGGAAATTACGTCAGGTTAGGTTCTGTGTATTGTCGTCTAGTTTGGCCACTGCGGTGTTCAGTCGATTTCTGATGGAATGAGCTGACGCTTTACCTCTTAACAAGTGTCTACTAGTGCAACCTGACTACTTCGTCGTCTGTTGTACCCGGATCCTCAGACTGTGTATCGTCTGACGACTACAACCAAGAGCTGGTGCAACTGCCTCAAGGGATTGTCAGCATAAAGAAGCTCACGTTTCTGATTTGTGAGTCGTGTTTTTTTTAATATCAAACTTGCAATTTTGCATCTTAGCAATGTCTGTGTGATTGCATTTCAATTCACGTGCGATAGCAAATGTGATTACGTAACTCCCTGCAAGTGCTATGTGCTTCACGCCTTTCTCGCGCTTTATGAAAAACATTTGGAAATGACACATGTTTGTGACACATGCTATCACTGGAGTTGGCACTGGAACCAGGCTACACTACACAGCAGCCCGTTGTATTCAGGATGGATAGAGGAACATATTGTGCACACACTATTGTACTGACGAAGTGTTAATGGTTGTCATTTAGAGGCCACGAAATGGGTCGGTCGGCCAGGTTCTGTCAGGTTTTGATTCCGTGATATCGTGTGCTAACTGACAGTGTAAATTCCATATAATGTCGATCCCTGGATTGCCTGGCCCAGACTCTGCGTATCTAACATCTATGTGCATCTTCAACAGGCGAGATAGTTAACTCATGATATAATAAGTCGAGTTTCAATCCAGCCGGGTGTAAAAACATTAAAAGAGGTTTTGTCTTTCCTTGAAAATCCCGCAATCTACCGAAATCCGCGGGGCAGTATACTAACCATATGTCGATTTCTTTTCGCGGTTTTGATTTGAAATTCCAACCGAATTCCGCAAGAGTTAAAACAAGACTTTAAAAGCTTTGTAAAGATTACTCCTGTGATATATGCCTGTACGCCTTAAACAACACGCATGCAAGGCATATATAGATTCCTGTCCATATCTTGTATTTATACAACGTTTCCGCTGTTTGTTTGAAGCGCAGAAGTGACAAATCAGATTGAACTCGTCAACATAGGTGAACATTCGCAATTTAATACCTTGTTTACATAAACTCTGCTTCTACTGAGACCAAATAGTATATTCGTGATTGTAGATCAAATGAAACCAATGTTTTTTTACGTGCATCGATTTGTCTTTGCACCGTCCCGATATTATGGCGAAACATAATCTGGACTTCCGTTGATGAATTGCCCTGCAAGTAAACTACCGATCTGGAAATGTTCAGTATTGATTTCAGTAATATGTTCATTTGTTTTAGCTTGGATTCTAATGATATACATTCTCGTTGACGTCCGTGGTGAAGTAATTGAGCTGGACTTAGTTAAACGCCGCACTCTGTTCCGGCCATATTGTGTATATCCTAGAATCAGGGTCAGACAATCAAGTGATTGAAATTATGAGCATCATCAACCGATGAGTGGGTGAGTGAGTAATAGTTTACCACCAACTACTGATAATATCTAGTTACCCGTGTGAAAAACGGATATCTCATCTGTGATTGAAGTGTGTGTGTGTGTGTGTGTGTGGGGGGGACTGGACTGGGGGGGGGCGCGGTCGGTGGGCTGTCTAAGGCGCTAGGCTCATGATCCAGCGAGATTAAGGTGTCGGGATCGAGCCAACCTGTGACCGGGTGTAGACTCTTTCCGTGTTGTCACAATTCCTAGTGTACACTACACAAACCTGAGCACTTAAAAGAACCCACGAATCCGGTGGTATATGACCAGATGGTGGCTACATGAATACGTGCAAACACCTAGTTGCGGGTACAGCAACGTGCAGTGAACTTGGACAAAGTACTGTGACTATGTGTCCCAGTCCACCCAGCTGTGAATGGGTACCTCGTTAGGATGGGAAAACCACAATAACTCTGTGCGCCTAGTGACTGCAAGAGTGTATAATCCTCAGGGAGTTGAGATTGATAATACGAGATTGACATCCAAAGATCGAGGGGAAAAATACCAGCGCCTTGGGCATGCACTAGTTGCGTGGATATATGCGCTATATAAATATCCTATAATAATTCTTGAGTTTCAACCTCACCCAATCCCCGCCCCTCTTTTCTGTTTCGATTTGAATAGGATGCGAGAAGGTAGTTGTTCGACTAGGCAGTAATGCTTGTTGTGAAAGGCGGCTTATTCGATCCGACTCTGTAGCATGCTTAATTGCATCTTCCAACGACCTAGGGGGGTTCCTTTACTAATATTGTCACAGGTTTGTGTGACATCGGGACGTTTTTTTTACAGAAGCCTCACATATTAATAATTACACATGACTTAATGGAAAGCAGTATATTTCAACTTGAGCAAGTCAAATTTTGATTGGAGCTCTGTGGCAATCCTTGGTCGATGCACACATATATTGTGCTGAAACAGCTCGGTGTGTGATGCATTAGTGTCATGTCTAGTGTATTTATCTCTTTGCTATTGGGCTGCTGCAAGGAACGTTGCCGAGAAACAACGCTGGAGCACGCCACGGGTATGATTGCAGAAGCCACTTTGTGTAGTTTTCTTATCGTTCTGGCCAACAACAGGATGAGCGTCGTTCGCTCTGATAGTAGTATTCACGTCGTTCATGTTGTATAATTCTTTTCAATCCATATACTTAACC